AAATATTCTTCGTGCTGGGATAGTCTCTTAAATCGAATAAACAGGCTGCTTCCTTCCTCTTCCAGTTAACACACTGAACAAAGTGAATATGATTCTATTGTACAGAAATGGCTGCCATCAGCTTTGATGAACATCTTGACTCATTTTCACTAGGGAATGTTTAACTGTATGAAGAACTGCAGTGTTACTAATGCATCTCACAATATCAAAAACTTACTGAGGTAGTCCTTCTCTTGTGTCTACCTTGCAATCACACACCATGTTTATCATGTGACCCCAGGTGACATCCAGAGACCATGGTGGCCAATTCTGTATACCACCATGGAGGATCAATCAGACACTGCATGACATTCCAACTGAAACTGGGGGTACCCAATTATGCTAGTAGTACATCTGCAATAGTGTTCACAGAGGAATATACTCTAAAGAGTGCCAGTTCAGTTTGCAAAAATACGGCATAAATGACACCTATTAAACATTGCGGGAAGATGTATGGTCCAAGCAACTGGTCACCAATGACAGTACGCCACACATTTACAGCAAAATGATGTTGGAAGTTGGACCATAAAATTAAAAACATGCAGAATGGGGTGCATTTCTTAAAGTTCTTATCTTAAGAGCATGAGAATACATACTACTTAGTGAGATTTTTGTTTCTCATGCTAGTGAGTATTGAAGGTGACTGTATTCGAGGTTGCTGTGCCATGTAGTCTGGTAGAAGTTTACCAACATTTCAGAGGTGCTTGCTTGGAGGCAGCAAGTACCTTTGAAATGTCTGTAAGCTTCTACCAGATTACACAGTGCTACAATCCAGAAGACAGCCAACTTCATACTACTTGTTTTATTTCAAGGCCTGAACTGAGGAAAGTTTCTGGTATTGTTAACGTCATGACTAAAGTGTGCCTCATCAGTGAACAAAACATAAAAATGCAAGTGGGGGGTGTGCATTAGACCAATGCCAAAATTCTAACCACCTACCCTTGTCTGCAGGTTCAAAATGTTGAATTTGTTAGTAATGATATGGATGCAGTCGTTCACTGTGTAACGTTTCCCAGACTCTTGTGCACAGAACATGGAGATAAGTGGAAATTCTCTGGGTGCTCAGATGTGGACTGCACTCTGATATTTCAATAATGTTTTCCTTCTCATCTGCATTCTTTCATACTAGACATTCAGCAGTCAATGATACACACAGAAATAAGCCACTTTCTCACAAATACTGGTGACTGTGACTAAAAACATGTCATCTCTGATTCTTATTCACGGAAATTGTCAGCAGCAGCAGCATTGCCATTGCAAGACCTGTAAACAAAATGCATATCTGCATATTCTTCATTGGAGAATGTAAACATGTTCACCGAGACCTCCATTATACAAAGCAGGACTGTTAACCAACACAGTGAAATATCTATTTGATAAAGTTGTCACTGTACCTAAGTACCATGTAATGAAGGAGTATACTGTGTATGAAGGTATAGCTCCATACATTCTTAATTCAAACACTAGATTGAGGTGAGTAGTCAGCTTCATGCTCTGGCTGATTTACTCGCAGAGAAAGAGCCCCTAATACATACTGCATTGGAAGCTGGAACGGACTCTCAGCAACGGAAGCTTCAACTGTAGACACACATACGAACACTCTTCAGTTGCACATTCAACTTGCAGCACCTAACACCCGATTATTGTGCATGTTCAAATATTGTTACATCTAAAATATTAAATTATATTTTGTCAGTTATTTCCACCATTACTCTTGCTCTCTTTCACTGTCTCTCTCTGCATATGTCTGTAGTTAGAGTGAATCTAGACTCCTCTTATTCCTTTCTTACAAACTTAATTGTAGATTAAGTTGTTTCATTTGGAAGTATTGTAGTGTTTTACGAATTCTAAGAATCCATGAAAGAAGGCAGACTTCACTAATATCAACTATAGTGTTTCCTTATAGTCTATTATATTTAAAATCAAATACAATTTTACTAATTAACAAAATATTTTTCTTGTTTCTCTCTGTACCTGGTTCAGACATTCTAACATATGCACAGAGATGTGTGAAAACTTACAACAGAATGATTTTATGCCTGTTTTAAGGTCGATACATTTCAAACTTTAGTATACAAGGCATTGTGCACAGACAAGCCTACTAGTCACCATCTCAGAAGTTCTATCACATGTCTGAGTATTCACACTTTTGGATATTAATTCAGAGTTAGAAAGCACTAGAAAGATTATTCTGTGAAAGCTGAATAATATTAATAACAAGAGACAGGACACACATGATAATTATAAAATGGGTCATCAGGGTAAAAGAACAGTCTACTGCCAACAAAATCTGATGAATATCAATCTAAATTGTAGTTTACATCGAACTGACAGTGGGCAAACAAGGAACAACCTGCATGAACGAGTAGAATGAGGTGCATTTCATATAGCTCCTAACTTAACAGTATGAATACATACTACTCAGCAAGAATTCAGGTTCTCACAGCAGCGAGTATGAAGATGGCTGCCTTCAGGGTTGTTGTATCATGTAGTCTGGTAGCAGTTTACCAATGTTTCAGAGGTCCTTGTTACCTCCATCACTGCCCTGGTGATGAAGGCAGCAAATACCTCTGAAATGTCAGTAAACTTCTACCAAACTACACAGTGCAACAGCCCGGAAGATAGCCGTCTTCATACTACTACTGAGACAGTAAAGATAAGCTGTGATACTGATGTGCATATGTTTAACAGATTAAACACTCATAATTGTGTGCCTATTTGCTTACTGTTCTGCCACTTTCAGGCATTCTCTTGTTCTTTTGGTCAGTCATCACTATGGAACTTCTCTGTTGTTACAGAAACATCATCATGTTGAGTCACAGTGCAAGGTAAGTTCACGCAGCTCTCAGAACTTGCTTGTAAATGTTTGGCTTGCTGTTATAGTAGAAAAAACATGTTCAGACCGAGGAAACTCACTCGTGGGTCACTCAGTAACTGAGCTCGGAAGAAGGCAACTCACTGGTGTGTCACACAGCATTTAGGCCTGAGGCAGCATGATCTGTAAGTAGATATCTCAGGAACTATACACAGAGCTTCGCAACACAACCAATGATGACACTGCCTCCAAGACTGGGTGCTGTAAGACCCACTGGTAGGTCACTACTTTTGACATATCAATCTGCTTCGTGATGCCCAATCACAAAGCTCATTAACTCAACACCACATCCAGTAGATCCATCCCAGCGACTGCATTTAGAACAAAGGGAAGTATTTGCCTGCTAGTATTTGTACTCCAACAGGGGGAATGATGTGTGAAATACCAGGTAGATAAATTCTTATAGAATGTAATACTTGCATGGAAGTAACCATGGGATATGTCAGCATGAATGTCCTGAGCATCAGACTCGGGTGTTAGAACACTAAATGAAGTTCATCGCTTTCTACAGTACACTTTAAGCTTCTTTAGATTCTGAAGGTAATGTCTGCAGGCATGTGCAAGTACATTCACTACACTGACTAGTCTTCCTTTCCTCTCATTTCAACATTTTGTAAATGCAAAAGCAAAGGGCCTTTCTGTCTCACTCTTCAAATTATGTTTGCATTTGGTCTGACTAATATACCCTTTGCATGTTCAATTTAAAACTTTAGTGTCTAGTGTTAAGAGCTCAGTTTACCTATGTATTTAAATTTCAGTGTCCTACTGAATTACGAGAAACAAGGGGTTCATTATGCAGTTGGAATTATTTATTCCTATATGATTTAAATATTTGTACACTCAAGTTTTCCAATCTGAAAATTAAACATGAAACACGGCTTCTTATTCTGACAGATTGACATACTAACAAGCCTGTAAGACAAAGTGCCAAGTGTATGAACTTAGAAGGTCTGTATTATACATAAAACAGAGAATATTCAGCAATGGGTCACTCCTGATTATACATGTCATCTGGTGTAGTTTGGCCAGTTAAGTAAATGAGGTTACAGCTGCACATTTAGTTTGGATTGAAAAATCAAGGGATAAGGAAAGGTGATGATGTGGAACTCTCTTGGAAATTCTGTCACACAAAATTAATTTAAGCAGGTGAGTGTTTTTCATGAAGCTCTTTGGACCTTGAAAGATAATAACAAACTAAACACACAAAGCACATACAACAAAGAACTCTGCACAAGACACACAAAAGAGAAAGACACCAATTATTTAAATGTTACACAATATAACTGACAACTGTGTTTTGAAAGCCATATTGTGTAGTTTGACAACTTCTTCACAATCTATATATTGCCCTTAACATCAGAGACTCAAGAATACAGCAACCAGTAATGCAGAAGAAAATCAGGATGTTTTGGGGGTTCATGAAAACACCTTTGTCCTTCTACAAGGTTTTTTGTCTTAACAATTTAGCAGTATGACAAATACTAAATTAGAGGAACCTTTATTTAGCCCATCCACACAAAAACTCCAACTGTTTATTTGCCAGCAATCACTGTTCTTTAGAGTATGTAACAAATGGCTCAACTCCTTGATTTTTTTTGATATGGTGAATACTTAACAAAATACAAAGATAAATAATTTTCAACTCTATGCATATATATTCCCCCCTCCTGATATCAGAAATAAATGAAAATCAACGCCAGTGGGGTATGCAAAATGAGAATGATCACATTTGTAAAATATGTGTCCTTCAGTAAAGTATACTTTATCATTCTTGCTTAACCCCTTAGAGCCTGCCTGCTTAAACAGTCAGTCACTCTGCATTTTGACCACAATGCATTTATTTGTTTTTTATGATTCTCAGAATAAACAGTAATTACTTCCCTAAACAGCATTAACCAACTGATCCTTGTAATGGACACGCACTGTATTTTCTTTGAGGTATGAAATTAATTTTTAAACACTACCTAGATGAGATATAGCTTCAAAGGGTTATTTAGGACTGTCACAATTATTGAATTTTTTTATAGATTAACCATTCACCATTAACTGATCAACCATTCACCATTAACTGATCAACCATTCACCATTAACTAATAAACTGACTTACTAATACTAATAAATTGTTAACAGCAATACAGTCATAAGAAATACCAATTAACTTGGCATTGAGGTTTTCATGGTGTTAAAAAATTTAGAATGCACTCCTCTGGATTATGACATCATATAGTCTTGCATGTGGTTACCAACATTTCAGAGGTAGCTACTGCCTCCATCTTCAAAGATTATACTGGATTATACATTGTCACCCCAAAAACCCCACACCAATTACCTTATCATTAAATTAAGTATGAACACTGATAATGTAGGCTTAGGGTGCATTCTTATCAGACATGGTGGATAGATCAATGAACTGCTGCCAACACAGATCTCCTAGGTTAAAAGTTAAAAATTATGATAAATGATATGGCAATAAAACAAAATAAACATAAAAAGACACAAAAAAGCATTTGAAATTGAAATTTTCATTCAGAATTTAAGTGGTTCAGAAGATTATAAACACAGATGGACAAAATGTGCACGAGCTTCACATTACGCATTCACTTTACTTATACATTTCATATAACTACACATAATGAAGAGAGACATGTAAGCTTTACGTGTTTCATATTTTAGCAACATGTGCTGCGTAAAGTACATATCTACACAAACATATTTGATACTTACAATTATAAGAACAAACTATTTCCCTTCTGTTTCAGGTGGAGTCGTCGTAATCGCCATGGTGTCCAAGGAAGCCAGAGGCGTGACATTGTGGACTACAGAACAGGTTACATTAGATCACACCTCCGTTCTCCATCAGGAAGGGTGAGATGACCCGACCCAGGCCACAGCATCACCGATCTTGACCTATGATGTCACTTTCAGAATCTTAGATTATTTCAGGATGAAGTGAATAAGTGCTATTAGATTTGGTGAGATAATCTGACCCCATTTGATAACTGAAAAGTAGCCATCAGTAGCTAGGTAGTATCACCATCAGTTGAAATAGTATGGTGAAAACTGTCACATTCACCTTGACTTCTCTACCTTGTGGCTGAAAAAACATGGTGTCTATAAATGTGCCGTGATCACAAGTGAGAGTCAAACTAATGGTTATCATTCAGTGAACTCTAACCCTACGACTATATTCTGACTAGTTTTTAGAACCATTTTAATGACATCACAATCTATATTCAAAGAGCAGATTATAGCATACGTCCTCTACCCTCATGCACTTCAGAGAAATTCAGAAGTTTCACCAATTCCTGAAAACTAAACTAACTACAGTTAACATTTTTCAGCTGCAGTCCAGCTGGTCATGTGTTGCAGTAGCTTATTGCTACACTTAAATCACACCTAAGTTACAATCTGGCCAGCAGCCTCTCAGCACAGGAATTTAAACCCTCTTTTCTCATACAACTCAGTTCAAGAACTGAAAATAGTCTTAACATTATTTAATGCTGTCAACTACAAAACAGGTTATAAGGGGGTTCTCCGGAGAAACTGTGTAGGACCTGAAATCAATGTGTTCTCAAATGTTACCATCTCTGGCTAATTGTAATGGTTCTTAACGCAGTGAATACTGCACACCACTGTAATCTACACCTTACTCAACAAAAATTTAAAAGAAGAGTAGAACCTACAGTAGCTAAAATCTATGACTTCACTGATACTGCACGTAGCACAAGTAACTGATATGTTTGCCATTCAATCTGATATGAACTTACACAACACACCTACGTTAAACTCTACCTGCACACCTGGGTCACTACCATAAAATTCTAATAGGACATCACTCTAATGTGATGTGTCTCTTATATATGATCTCTATTTGTACATACAGTCCTGCTGACTTCAGGAAGTCCGAAAGGATTATTTATCTAAGAAATATGAATAAATAACTAAATTTAAAATAAGATTTAATGCAATCTTTCAAATTCAACACTATTTAAAATAATAATTTTGGGGGTTTACAATGTTTTTCAGCAGTGGTGTAGAGGTATCAAATGCTCTCATACTGCCCATAATTTAAACGGTTTCTGTAGTTTTTCACACTTCAAAGATGTGTAGTTAGGGACCTAGATCCACCCCATAAATTGACATTCTCACAGAAAAGAGACATTTGCCTCTGTCACTATGTTGTACATACAGAGTTTCAATTTATGAAAGATAATGCAGGATTTAGTTCAGAGTATTAAGTAAGGAGGATGGATGCTGAGATAATCTTGGCCTACTGAATAACATTCTATTACAGTTGTTGCAAGGAAACAACAAAGAGAGGTGCTTCAAAGTATGAATTTCAGATATCTTACTTACAAGCTAAACATCACAATTCATATCAGTCTTGATTTTTATATATTATATTTTATGCATAGTAAAATATCTCATACCTAGTAACTAGGTGAGATAAAATAAGAAGTATGAGGCATCTGTTAACCCTCATTATTATTTGCCATTTTTAGAAAGGCTTAATAATAGAGTCCTATACACTCAAGTTACTGTATTCCTGTTTCACCATGCCCAGTCTTGTTTGCTTTGCACTTTCTATCTGAAGTAATGATGTCTCACCCAATATGATTTTCAAAGAAATTAAAATATCTCTTTTAGGTCATGGACACTCCTCACATGCTCAAGCTGGCAGACCAGTGATTAGCTCACTTTGCCTTCTGATTCGGTTTGTCTTCAACAGATATCAGATCCATATAAGTGAATGAATCAATGTTCTCTGTACAACATTTTGTTAATATATTTACTTGCTGTCCTCAAGTTTAACCAATAACTCAAATATAGGACTGCAGATTGGCCTTGCACACTTTCCACAATTTCTAATTCCTCCACTACCTTAAAAAAATTGTAATTGAACACTTGCAATTATTACAAACACAGTAGGACGTAGTATCTAAGGCAAAATGCTGAATTTTAACATATAAATTGAAAACACACCAGACCTATAAGTTACATACTTCAGTGCATGCTGAATCTACTAATCACAAATAGATCTTTGAAACATTCTTTTGAAGTGTCTAATAACACTGATTAGAGATCAACTACCAATTACAGCTACTAATAAGTCATACAAAACACAAACCTTCAGAAGTAACCTGACTGTTGGTTTTATAACTTTCATTATTCCAACCTTAGAATTTTTTGCATATCCAGTATAATCAGTTAAATCAGTGTTTCTTTACACATTGAACGACTGAAGTAAACAAGTCTGTACTTAATAAATGCCTGTAAATTAAAATCAAAATGTGAGATTTACTGTTGTCGTAGTGGTGAAAATATTGACTGTGGTATTCTGGTTTGTGACATCATGTAGACTTATAGGTGATCACTAACATTTTTGAGGAACATATTGCCTTCAACTTCCTCTACCCTGAAGACAGAGGTGATATTCCTCCAAAATGTCAGTAATCACCCAAAAGACTATACAGCATCATAACCCAGAAGATTACAATTCACATGAAATCAAATGTTATTTAAAACAAAATGCAACCATGCCGGAAAATGTTTTATTCATGACTGTAGTCACAACTGGTTTCTGTTTTTGAACCTGTGTTCTAGTGAGTTTCTTTGTATTAAGGATGTGAGAGGATAAAGTGTTTATAACCTGCAAGACACATCACGGATAAAATGGTAATTTAACCGTCACTAATTCATTTTGCAAATGGACATAACAGTGATAAGAAACACAATGATGTAAAATTTTACATGTATATTACATAATATAAATTTATGTAAAAAAATAGTAAAGTCTGTACAGGGTATATGGCTTCAGTAATCAATATGTACACAAAGTTTTACTACAAGGCAATTAAAATAAATGCAAAGTAGAAACCTCTTTTACAACTGATTCTAACAAGAACTTATCACAAACAAATGTTATCAGTTGTTTTTTTACAAACCAAAACTACATGTTTGTAACTAAATTTTCAATCCACATTTTGTAAGTGAAAATTACCAATAAAAAAATTTCCAAGCATGCCTTTTCTCATGTATTAATCCTCAAACTTTTCCCAGCACTACATGCTCTAATTATATTCAGAAGATACCCAGTTCAAACCACTATATTGTTATCATAATTGACAAATCTCCGTTTTCCTTAGCCCATGGGTCAACATTTTGGTGCTCACAGCACACATGGGATATTCACTTTTATGCAGCCCACTAGAATTAGAACAGAAAACTAAATATTTATAAAAACAGTACTCCTATTTTTAGACATACTATTTGGCTTAGTACTGTTTGTACTAGGTTTTTGCTTAATATTACTTTCCCTCTTATCAACCTGCATTGTCCAAGGCCAACAGGTCCGTAGAAAGTTTATCAGAGGGTCTTCCTCATATCTGGTGTCGCAGGCTGATGTTCAGAGTGCCCTTCCGCCAGCCAAACCTTAACCTTAAAACTACCAACATACAGAGATTGAGACTGCTTTCTGGGAATGGACTTCTTGATCCAACCCTAGCCAAGGCATCTGCATCCTCATTATCCAGAATCCCATTTTGACCAGGGATCCAAAGAAGCATAACTTGTTCGAACTTAACAGGGCACACAGTTCGTTTTGACACAGTACCAAAAAGCAGTCAGAGTCAAAGTAAAAACTGGCTAAAAATGTAGACGCATGAGATTCAGAACAAATATTCAGACAGTGACAGGAAAAGTTCCATACATGATCAAGGATCAATTGGCACATTAGTAAATGATGATGACAATGAAGGGGCAAAGAGTTGGGTTACTGACAAAAGTTTTGAATGAGAAGACATGACAAATTACTGGGAACAAAAGGAAATTTTCACTGATGGACTTTGAATGCAGGGTGAACAAATGGACACTAATGATAGTTTGGAAATTTCTGGAACTACTTTCCAGCAGTGTTCTTGGAAATGCAGTCCCCAAGACCAACTATAACAGTTCACAAATTGCCAAAGACATGTTCAAACCAAGATCTTCATCGTAGCCTTGGAAATCATATTTAACTAATGCTTTTATGTTTATTTGCTAAACGGAGATGGCATCATCTACATGAGTGCCTTGAGCACTGTAACACTAAGCTGAATCATTACAGTAATGTACATCACAATATTACATCTTGAAGAAACTCAGAACTTGCATGCAAAATTTGATTCAAATTGAAGAAGTAAGTAACTTCATTTAATTTCAAGCATGTACTTTCTGTGAATCTAAGCCCCAATATCTCTATTCTCGTCAATGAAATTCATTTAAATCCTCTAGTACTGACTAAATATAAATGTATAATTTGCAATTTTGATCACTGCCTTTTCTGTATAAAATTTTTTTCCTCCTCATGAGATGTTTCCATTTTTGTAGGTTTACGTTCTCACACTCAGTAAATTGAGTAATTCTTCATCAAATTTCATCCATAATTAAAAAACTGCATAGTCTCCATTGAAGCTTTTTCCAGGCAGTGTCCACAGATTTAGCTGATGTAATGATTTATGTTCTTCCATTCTTTCTATATTTTATATGAATATATCTCTTTATTTACTACATTAAAATATTTGAAGAAACTGAATACAAATGTGTATGACATAGTACACAGCATGGTTCTATTCCATGTCTCTGAATTTAATATCAATTGTTCTTTATATCCAGGTAAACTAGCTCTAGAATTTAAAGATTCATCTTATAATGACTTTAAGAAAACAAAAAATTGAGCATCAATATGCATCTTTGTGCATGTATGTCTTTCTAAGAAAATCTGAACTTACCAGTTGATTGTAACTACGGAGCTAAATCCTGACAGGCCCGTGGCTATCTAGGCAGTGAGAGTATTAATGTCTCTGGCTAATGGATAGAATTATGAGGTTATATAGCAACATGTTTTGATTTCTCATCATACCACCATTTTACCTGGTATACCAGTCTGCTTTTACAGATACATATGAACACAAGTAAAACTGTGAAATTTCCCCTAATTTCAGTTACATAAAACACTTAAACACACAAAATTCCAACAACGGTAACATTCTTTGTTAATATCCTGACATAAGACTTTTTTTTTTTCAAAAATAATCTTGTGATAGCAAATTAGAAGTAAGTACTTATAAAAGATCATTATGTCATGCAATTCACCTTCATAAATAAGATGACTATTCAAACACTAAAAGATGTGAATTTTTCCCCCTCCAGTTACATTGATCAGTGTTCACAATATTGATATCAAGCTACAGCACTTTTATCATAAATTTACAAGATTTTAGATGAAGAAACAGACAATCTTCTAGCACAGTAATTATCAAATATGGACATAAGGAACTTTCATGAATAATATATCAGTTCACATGAAACCAGATTTAAGGTGCTTGTGAATTTTGTTCTGATTTTGAGACATTATTTTATGCATACATCAATAAACTCAGCATATATTCAAATACAATGACTGAAGCTTTACTAATAAAAAATTAACAACATTTTAGACAAACTTAAGGCCATTATTTACAAACTTTTAACCCAGACATTCTGAAGCATGGACAAGAGCTTTCATAAATAATATAAACAATTCAGACAAAATCAGATTTAAGGTGCTAGAAAATTCTATTCTGATCTTGAGTTATACTCTTGTTTGCAAAAATGAAATAAATTCAGCAGATGAATGTTTCTATGCATCAAAGGACTGAAGTACCCTATTACATCGAAATGTTATCTAACAATGAATAAAATTAACATGGCTAAAGACAGTATTTCTTAATGAATGTGGTCAAAAAGCAATCCTTTCTTTTCAACGCAGCCATTCCATTCTGGTGTTGCCTGACACGGAAATGAATGATACAGCCATGACAAGTATTTTGTTCTAAAACACAGCTACAGCAGATTTTTTGATCATGAATGCAGATGCTACAAATATATCCTTGAGAACATTCCTCCATTCTCCAGGAACACCACACATGTAATGTCATCAGATCATAATATTAACATCACAAATATTTTATAAAAGTATATTATTCACTAATGTGGCACAAACTTCAAACTCTGATGGCATGATAACAAGAAATGTTGATTCAAATGTGTGCAACATATGTATGTTGACTATCCCCAATGTCACATCAAATTCCGAGCAGACTGGATCATTTACGAATACCAAGGATTATAGTTATTGCCTGTCCAAACGTCTACAAGACTGGATATGTACTGGTGCCTATAAAACATGAACCTGATTGTACAAAATATAGTACTGCAAATTCATAGTTCATCATGTGGGATATGTTTTATAACAAACTCATACAAATCATCCAAAGTTCGAGATCCGGTATATTCAGCGATTTTTTCTCCATCTCTGTACAGGAACAGTGTAGGAAATCCATCGACCTGGAAGTATCAAGCAGCATGTATTACAGGTGCCAACTACAGCCCGCTGCTTACTTGAATGGTGGCATACCAACAACAACAATGTTCTCTGTGAGCAATACTAAAACTATAAGAAGTCAAGACCACAATGGGCATTTCATGCCATTCCGTCCATGTGAAAGCCAGGTAAGAACTATTAGCTTCTCAAGAAGGAATCTTCTCCAGAGTTGGTTATACACGTAGATGACAACAATGGATAGTCCAACAAAAGAAGCCGACAGTAGTTACTAAGTAAGTGAACAAATTCCCTGTCTTTTATGTAACCCAAAGTTCATTCAAGACCACAACCTAAATGTATCCTTGACGCAGATGAATACAGAGCACATCTTCACACCACATTTCTTTGAGATCTATTTTAATAACATCCTTTGCTCTATTCCTAAATTTCTGAACTAAAATTTGATGTTTATTTATCATCTCACCCATGCATGTTATATGTCATACCCATCTCACCCACCTTAATTTGATAATGAGTACAAATTATGGAACTCCTCATTATAATTATTCTCCACTGTCCTGTCATGTTTTACACTAGCTGAATCAAAGGATGAATTACTAATTATCATATCTGAAGTAAATACTACTGAAAATAAATGATCTCAAAATATCTACCATCAAACCCAAATGTGCAGCATAACATTCAAACAGTAAAGATTATGTCTGGCAATAAAATTATCAGACATATATCATAATTAAAATATTTAGGATACCTTATTTCAGGCCAGAGAAGTAATACAGAAATGAAAGAACAATCACACAATAAAGGAAATAATATCATTAAAATCTCCTTAGAAACACAAAAATAATATGTAACTTACCAACAACAAAACAACTGTGAACTACAGTAGGGAGGCTCAGGTTCTGAAGAAAATGAATGCAAAGACGGGAGGAAGTACAAATGAGATTTCTATGACCCAAACTGGGGATTTTAAGACAATATCATCAATGAAATACAAGCATCAGAAAATATTTAATGCCTGAAATACTATCTAACACATATACACAAGGAAGAATAACTAGAAAAAGCAAGCACTGGAATACAAATCAATGGGACAAAGAGACTGTGTGCCAAAAGAAAGAATTCATTTACATTATTGCTATTATGCCTAGGAGAAGCACAGAGCATCCACAAAGCACTGTCAAAAGACCCTACTTACCACCATGATTGTGCCTTCTTTTAAAGCATCTTCTTCACTTCTTTTCATCCAAATTCTTGATTTTCCTTTACTTCTACTTCAGATCAGTGCATCCCTTTTAACCAACCACTACTTTTCGTTTCCACAGCTTACGTCCAATCCATTTTCTTATTTTCATTTCCACTATAATCTGTTCCTGCCCTGTTCCACTTGAGAGTCTTGGTTGGCGATCGCTTCTGGCCATCACATATTTAAAACTCTTCTCAAGTTCTCAAGCTTTAGTGTTTTATTATATGATTAGAAATTCAAGTTGTCTTCTAAGTTTGACAGCTTCAAAATTAATATTAAACATTCTTAATATCATTAATTTTGACAAGACAAGTAGGTTCTTCCACACTCGGTAGAAGCGGACATAAGCTCATTTTCTTCCTTTACACGACTTTCAATATCTTCAGCAGCTCCTCCAGCTTTTGTAATTACACTGTCTTAACCTAAACTAACCTAATCTGAAAATTTGTTTTGCAACTCAGCAGAAATATAAGAAAAAGCATCACCAACAAAATCTAAATGAAGTTTTTCTGTAAATCCCCAATTGATCCCTCATTTTCCTTTTCTTTAAATGCATTCCACTTAACTCCAACCACAGCAATTTTATTTCAATAGTAATTTCTACCTCATATGTAAGTAATTCTTACATAAGTCTTATCAAATTACAATTTCCTGGTATTCTAAATTTTAACATGACATTGCATATAAACTCTCTACTCAGCAAATCAAAAGCTTTCTCAAAATCTATAAACAGGAGATTCAAGGCAGTTCCCCATTCCTTGCTTTGTTAACATATTACAGTGAAACCTCTATCCATCGTTCCCGGAACTATCGTTTTCCCGGATGCATCGTCCGTTTTGTTCGGTCCCGAATACATCCCATATAAAATAATGTTACATTTTCCCGCTTCTATCGTTCCTCGAACTATCGTTTTATCGCATCGATCCTTAAAAAATCTTAGTCCCAGCACACAATTTTCCCGCAATGATCGTTTCTGAGAAATTAAAATGCTGGGTTTTGAGATAAATTAATACTGAAAGATGCACAATGTTTTTGGAATACACAGTAGCGATAACCTGTTATGTCGCCCAACCAGCACATTCTTTTGGAATGAGGGTCAGCGGTGCAGGGGTGATAGTTGGAGCTTCTACAGCTACGTTTCGTTGAGTTCGGCAGTAATAGTATTTCCATTCTTCCTGTTATTGTCCGCAAAGGGGGTTGGAGTGGTGAGGAAGACGAAGACGACGAATGCGAGCCCGAAGCTTTGCCGAGTTTTGCCGAAGCGCACGCTGCATTGGCGAAAGTGAAGTCGTTCTTTTATGCGCTTAATATTAGTGAACGTGACGAGGAAAACATTTTGAAGGTGGAAAGTGCTCTGTTTGGTCTAAAACGTAAAGTTTCGACAAACCGGTTGTCCATTAAAGCCTTTTTTGGTAAAAAGAAGTAACTATGAAAGAGAAACATTTTTTTTTTTAAATTTTTAATGCTTTCCCGCATCTATCGTTTTCCCGCATTCATCGTTTTTATTTCCCACCCCCGCCGAAAACGATGCATCGAGGTTTCACTGTAGTTCTTAATGCATCAACTCTTTAAATCCCAGTGGTAGCTATTACGTACCACCTGTTACAACTCTGCAATTTGCCCAGAGTGTATTTATGGGTTTCATACGAGTTTCAGAGCAAACACTGAATGTTCTCTTAAACAGCATTAACCAACTGACCTTTGTAATGGAGAAGCGCTGTGTTCTCTTTGTGATAAGAACTGAATCCTTAAATATTATTTAGATGAGCTTCAACTTAAGTTAATCTGATCTATAAGGAATCAATTTGGCCAAAATTCCACTTGTTTGGTTCTAATATGCCAGTCTGGTTTTTCTGTAATCTTATTTGAACATAAACAAAATGTTGCAATGCTGACAGAAGGAATATCCCTCTCCAGTTATTACAGGTGGTAACATTTCTTTTTGAGAATTTAACAACTAAACCTCTTTTCCAGTCACTAGGTACAGAAAATAAAATATGGGGACAGCAATAGCATGTATCAGTGCTATCTATATCTCTTTTAGAACTTGGACACAAACTGCTTTTACTAAATATCAACTGTGCCGTTGGATTGAAACTTGTAAATGCCACTAATTTAGGGCATGATCAACCACACGAGTAAAATCCTCGATTACTGTGATGCAGTCACACCTCAAGAGCATTCATACTGTGACACACGATACACTCCAGATGGATGCGGCTGATGATTCACTGGATTACAGAACCTGACTAGAAAGAAGCCTCAGACTAAGGTCTAGATCAAAAAGAACAAAGAATGATGGACCGACAAGAAAAATGTTAATTCCTACCTCTTGTTGACTGCAGAGGTCTTTGCTGGAATCCAATGTGCAATCCACTTTTGCAATTTTTACATATGGATTGCCAACAAACTTTACTCCAAGTTCTTCCCATGTTGGCGCTAATCTCTTACAGTGACCACACCTGAAACAGAAACAAAGCATTTACATATTTAACGGTTTTATCAGCTGCAGTGGTTATTCAGCGTCAAGCAAGATGAGAGGATGTTTATGTAGTACTGAAATGTGAAGAATATATACGTTCTTCTGTTTTGCTATTAACAAACATGTTCAAATTCAGTCCACAATACATGCAATTCATTGCATAATTATGAAATATTAAAATGTTCAGAAAGTGTTTCTGTTGTAGTGTTTCCTCCATACTGTCATGGATACAACACGTGTGGACTTTACTTTATTTGTTTCACAACAGAAAGTCCAAACAGTATGCAACCTCAAATTTGTATCATCACCTAACCAGATAGCCCCAACAGATGGCTTCGAGAACCCAAACAAATGTATATTGATGAGTATGCTCATCAAAGATAAAACAGTTAATAAAAAATTCTCAGTATGTCAAAACTTAAAAACCCGTTCTTACCATGGAGCAAAGAATTTTGTAAATGAAATTCCTTTAGCAATGCCATGGTCGAAGTTATCACCCGAGTAAGAAATGACTGGGCTGCTGGGTTCTGGTTCTGTTTCTTTTGCAGACACAGAATTGCTTGAACCTAGTTTCTCTTTCACAAAAGCCTTCAGATCTTCATCTGTCCTCTGACCTTGATACTTCTCCACCTAAAGAACAAAAGAGACAACAGTTCATGGCTCTGTATTAACATACAATTCACAGTATAGAGTATTTATAAAATAAACACCATCTCTACTAGGGTACTGAGGAGAAAAACTGGAAACAGAAACAGGAAGTAGGAGGAAATCAGAGAAAACTGCTTAATAAGGAGTTTCATAGTTTGTACTCTTCAATGAAATACTTATAACTAAGCATTTATAACCATCACTCATCTAAACCAAAGGTTTCACCCAGTACATGACCTTCCCGACCTACTGCACGCATCTCACAGACCACGGCAACACCAACATGGCACCAAGAATCTGATTAATGCAAGAGCTTAGAATCATGAAGGCAAGACAGGTTTCAGGAAACAATCACAAGAAAAATTTAACTTTGTTCTTAGACAATTATTTTACAGAACTAACAAAAAGGATACAGAACTGTGAAAAATATAAAACTGATGTTCATAAAATCAATGTTTCACTGTATTGATACAAGGGATGTGAGGCAGCACTAATGTCTCCAATCTCCGAAGGTTAACAGTAGAGAAATAATGGAAAAAATCATCAGAGCACAAAAAGTTCAATACCTTTTTTCAGCAAACTCCTGTTAACATCTCTCATTATGCTCAATACTTTCGAGAAATGATGCCCTGGTATGACACAATGACAAAACTTTACAATAGAAACTATGCCTGAAAGAATGGAAGTACTTCACGATTCATACTGATGTAAATCAATAACTGGGCTTGGTTTGAGACTTGTTTTACAAACACAATTCATATAGCAAGCACTTACTTTCTTTCCATTTTCAATCCACAGCAAAGTGGGGTAACCTTTTATGTCAAAGTCATTGCAAACTGACCTATGCACTGTGCAATCAACTTTGGCAATTGTAACAGTAGTATCATGTTCCAGAGCTTTGGCAAGAGCATCCCAGGTCGGAGCAAGTTTCTGTGGGAAAGAAAGCATATTTAGGGTTTTCATAAATTTCAACGAAAGAGAGAATATATAAAATGATGATACAAAGCGTGGCTCTTTATGGAGCAGAAATTTGGTAACTCTCGGAACAAAAAAAAAATAAGTTGAGAATGATGGAAATGAATTTCCTAAGAGCGGCTGGAATTTCCAGAAAAGAGAGAGAGAGTGAGAAACGAAAGGAATAGAGAAATCATGAGGATGGATCGAGATATAATTGAGGAGATAGAGAAAAGACAACTGATTTGGTACGGACACGTGCAAAGGATGGAGGAGGAAAGGTTACCAAAGAAGACTATGAAATGGCAACCAAAAGAGAGAAGGAAGAGAGGGAGACTGAGACCAGGATGGAACGACAGAATTATAAGAACCATGATAGAGTGGAAACTACCTCTGGAAGGATGGGAAAATAGAGAAGAATGGAGGAAAATATTAGGCACCGAAAGACCGAAGTAACGGTCAAGAAACAGAAGAAGATAAGTTTCAACAAAACCTTCTGAGTTGAAGTATGAATACTGTAAATTTTATGAAAGCAAGAATAAACATTAAATTAACTAGCATGACCACTCTTCCTCATTCTGCACTCAGTGCTTGTCCCCGTGAACTTGCCTCAACAACAGGCAAAATCCACTTCTGTGACACTTCTAAATCCTGTCCTCTACTTCCTTTAAATTTTAACATACAATTATACACGACCTTTCACTCAATTTATTTTCCACAATGATTATAAACACACTGTGCTGTAAATAGACTATCCTGCCTGCAGCAATGCCTGAGGAAAAGTCCTGTTATGTATGATTCAACAGTTTGAATAGAAGTTTACCAACATTTCACAGGTCACTGCTGCCTCCATCATCAGGCAACTCACTGCTACAACCCAGAAGACAGCCATCTTTGTACTCACCACCATGAGAACCTCAAATCCTACTTGTGCACCAAGTTCTTCCAAACTGTAGCATATGGTTAATAAATTTATATATGCTTACATAAAATGAATTATATAAATACATATATTATCTGTAGATGTTGCCAGTCACACTAGCAGAACATATGGCTTGTTAGTTTCGTTGGTTTTCTGAACAATTAGTACTGCAGGGAAATCTGACAAACACTTATATTTCTCAAACATCTTTATTATCCAAAAGCCTTATCATTTGGTACATATCACTGAACATCACATGAAGAAACTTATATCCCTAAACCCAACATATTGGCTAGAACATGAACCCAGGGCAGACTTTGGGTTTGTGACATTTGTTCCTGCAATCACTGCGCAAAAACATACAATTTTGTTCTTGGCACCAGAACTTGAAACCAGGAAAGATTTTTGAATGTCATTGCTGAAACAAACAACATTGGTTTTGGTGCTTTTTTTATCATGCTGAATTTCCAAGCAACACAAACTATCTTCACCTTGACACAGGCACCATAAAACAGACCGACAGAAAATCAGAAGGACACAAGAGACAGGAGAGTTTGGTTCACAAATACCTGGAAAAATGGCAATGTGTGATTTTTAAACCTTTTATACATTAAACAAGAACAAAAATTAAAACCACAGAAGAATGGATAATCTGCAAACTTAATAATCTATAAATAGATAATACTTTTAACTCTGATAAATAAATTTTACCTGACAATGACCACACCAAGGAGCATAAAACTTGACAAAATGACTTCCAGTTTCAACATGCTTCATGAATGTCTCCTCAGTCAGCTCAACCAAACCATTTACTGGTTCAGGAATTTTAGGTACATCATCTCTTTCCTGCAACAATATATCAATTACAGCAAACTGGCCTGACATCCATTTCCTAAGCAATACTACATTGAATTTAATTTTCCATAAAGAAGCAACTCTAGATAAATACCATACTAAATATACCTTTGAATGCAGTGACCAATGAATAACTAATGATGTAGCAATGGCCTGTCTTTATAAAGTCTGCAATTACTCAGCTAGAATTAGAAGAAATTAGAAAATTGGTAGCATTGTTTGTCAGCATTGTCTAAAACTTTTGTTTAAATCAATTTAGGTGGATAGGTTCCTTACAAATAACTTAAGACATCCACTTCCAAGCATTTCAGTGCCACTTAAAATCTGTTGGCAATGCAGCCATGATGGAATAGATTAACATATTTATCAATGGAGAAACAAACTGTTCTATGGAGTACATGTAAATATTTAATAAATATTTCATTTCCTCAAACCCTGCACTATAATCAGAAAAAATTCTACAACTGCTTTAAATCTGTTGTAGAACACATTAAATATTAGATGAAGACATTATGAATTGTCTTTGGCATTGACGGATAAACCTCCACTTGAATGAGAACTTCTGTCAATAACAATAACTGTATTAAAATTATGCCAAATAAATACTTCTTTGTGTCTACCTGGTGTGCATTTCCAAGCTGTTCATTGATGAATGAAGTTAAAGAAGCCAAATCACGTGTTCCACGAAATTTGAGCGCTTCTGTATCACCATTCTTAAAGAACTTAAGTCTGAAAGTAAAAATTAATCACTGATGACCGCTACGCACAACACTGTAACTAAGTTGAAAATATTTTGTTACCTGCAAATTGTACAGTGCTGTACCAATGGCAACTTTAACACTAAAAACACAGATAATAATAAAAATAAGAACAGAATGGTCAACTAAAGGAACCAGGATATATTCCAAACATAAATGGAAACTTTGCATCCATTGTAAAAACAGCAATAATCAACAAATAGGTTACTACAATGAATACTGCAAGATCCTGGCCAAAACTATAAAAGAATGAAAGAATAATAAAATTTGGAACATTTGGAAAGTGGTAAAAACAGGAACTGAAGCAAAAGAAGCAAGGAAAACTAGACAAATGTTTAGTCAGTAGATAAGAGATTTCACATGGAACCACCAGAATAAAAGTCTAGAACTTTCCTATTGCACCAAACTACCACCTCCAAACAACAATGCATACTCACGTAGGGTATCCTGTTACATCATGGTCTGAACACAGAGATGTATCTGTGGTGCAATCCACTTTGGCTATCTTTACCTTGCTGCTTTCATCCTTGTTATACTCTTTAGCCAGTAGTTCCCAAGTAGGTGCTAAGCGATTGCAATGCCCACACCTGCAATAACCAAAGGAATACAAAGCACAAGTTCTAACACACTCAGTGCTTGTTACTTATTTCAGTTTTGTTACGTTCCTTATGTAACTGTGCTTCAGGTGCATTTCTGACCATCCCCCAGCATCTGTCTAGCAACAAAGGCAAGAGTCCACACTTTAGATAGGATAATCTCCCCACCCTCACATGATGACAGTGAAGTTGTGGATGAAGGCTGGCAAAAGTGGTCTTCAACTTAACATGCGACATGAACCAGTGTTGGAGATCTGGCACAGAAGTGAGGGAAGAGAGGGGCATGTGGCAAAATCTTAACTGAATCAGGCTGGTGTCAAATCGAGGTACTTATGCACGAACAACCAGCACCCACTCCACACATTCTGACTGGTTCAGAAGTCAGATAACTCTTTAGGTTTTTCTGATGAGCTATGTCACGCAGCATTTCTATCTTTGTGTTACTTTGATGATGTGTTACATATAAGGTTTGTGCTGAAGTATGGTATAGGTCAAACCATACAAATTATAGAGCACCTCATCTGTAATATTCTCCACTTACCTATCTCACTTAGACCCATATACCTTCAGATAATATAGAAGCATTGGCACAATGTAGAATTTCCCCCGCCTCTCTCTGCAAGATATTCTCATACTCTCAGTACATCCTCCACTCCATTTCTTCCCATAAATCTTATTCTATATTTGTTTGTGATGAGGTTAGGATAGGAAAAATTAACTAAATATGGCAATCTTAGCATTGGTGGAATTTAAATGACAGGATGGGTGCTCGGTTGAACAGTAAGTTCGTGTTACGTTTCGTACATCCCTCGTTCTTAAGCTAAAATGATAACTCTAGGACTTGAAAAAACACAAGTTTCCTGGTTTCAATTAATTTGATAAAAGCAATATAACTCTCAAAAACCTGATCACATCTATTTTCCCCATTGTGGCTGTTTATTTCTGAGAAGGCCTGTACATACTAACCATGGTGCAAAAAACATGACAAAGTGATTGTTCTTAGGCACTTCTATAGAAAATGTATCACTTGTATACTGAATTGTATGAATGTCACCATCATGTGCCACAATAAGAACAACACTACTCACAAAACACAACCAGATGGGCCACATCATACTGCTGCGAGCAATAACGTGCGCAGTAATAGTACTGCAATGACACGACACTTCCTTATACAATTAACCGGCACCTTTATAACCTACAATACTTCCACCGCACACCACACCAACAACAACTCACAATCACGAGTGCTATGGTTACTATCTTCATGGATTGGTTCTTCTGTAGACTGCTCGGACCCTGGTAAGATAAGATCGGATAGTTTCGGTTGTTTTCGGGTTATCGTTCAAAACCAAAGTGGCCCATTCTTTCACGTTGGTGGTCATATCCGTGTGTTCGAACGTGTGTAGGGCTGATCGTGGTGTGGTCTGCTGTGTTGGTATTGTCAATGGTTCTGACGGTTCGTGTTCGGCTCGCAGCCCGACAGAAATTGCGTGGTCAGTCATTTGAAATGTCACTCAGTGGCAATAAAACGCTCTGGCGACAATCAGCAGTATGAGCATAACGAATGCTCAAATTCGTGAGGTGAGATGACGACGTCATTAATCACGAATCTCTCCGCATGATGTAATTACCAGTCATGTACACACTTTTTACTGGGGACATTTAGCATGGGCATTATGTCACTGTAGACAAATCCAAATTCATATTTTTAATTTCATTCATTTGCTTATACCAACATGAGGAATGATGTGAAGCTTTCACGGTTGATAGCCCGAGAAGACTTTATTAACATGACGAATGTTTAAGGTCATGAAGGCGGATGATGCCATTGCAATGATCTGCTCATGCGTATTAATTTGAAAAAGTGGAATCTATTCTGTTGAAGAAAGTGAAAATTGAGCAGTCTAAATAAATAAGTACTGACTTCGCACACATGGATGCACGATTACCTGTCCGCAAAAAAAAAAAAAAAAAAAAAAAAAAAATAGCCGCCACAAAGGCCCCCTTAAATCCGCCCCTGGCTGCTGTTGTTTTTATATACGTTTAGAGAGAGAGAGAGAGTCTCAAGCAATGTTCGGCGTAAAGAGCACTTTTGGAACTTCTTGCGCACTACAATGGATGTGTACAACTTTTCAGTCATGTTTATTTCTTGCATACATAACCTTCCTCCAACAATTTCAACTTGTATTTCTTTGATAATGATGCCACAGCAAAGGACGTTAAATGTACTGGCGTTCAGTCTGGTTGGAACAGGAATATTCGCGTGTTGTGTGGGGTGGACAGTCACGTGTGAAAGGGCCACTTAGTCCATTCGGTTATGATATACAAAACACGGACCGAAAGAAATAAGATGACTCAACACACCGTTATACATTTAAAACGGGAAAGGGGTACAGCCCTTCTTAAGATGCTAATAGTCGTTTAGTTACTCAAGAATGTTCCGGCTTTTATTTCACCGTAAGATTCACTGCCGTATTTGTAAGAGACCGTCATTGGTCTAGATAAATCCAGTCCACATTCTCACACTACGTATGTTTAAGAGCCGTTTTAATGTTTGATGTTTTAATGACGGTTTAAAAATTTTATTGTAGTCTTGTAGCCAACGTTTCTGAGAAACGTGTCGTGTTTATCTTCAGAGTATAAGTTATTGATCTGGACTCGGAACTCAAATCCTTCAAATTATCAGACTAAAATTCTGAGTGTATTTCTTTTTTCTACCATCACCGAGATCGCCCCCTTGTAACGTATGTGCTGCCATCATGTCTGTGTGCGCGTTTGTATGTCCCCCAGAGTATTAACCAACGGGATGGATGGAATTTCAAGAAGTATGGTATGAATGGAGCCTGTGGTAATCCTTTAAATTTATTACAGATGTCCAAGTTTCCTCTAACCACTGGTTGGGCGGCCAAAGCATTTTATGAAGTCTGCGAGTTCTCTGCCCAGTTAATTTGATACTGGAGGCGGATTCAGTCTTATCTCTACACACGCCATCATCACGTCGATTGTTTACAGTCAGGATAACCTAAAAGATCAAATGACTATATTGCCCCGTCCACTCTTGCCGATGTGGGCCTAATCAATCCGCATAGTTTTTGCATCTTCTGATGGAACAAACAGAACGCATCTATCCTGGGTTCGACACCTGCTGAGGCTGGCTCCAATTCCGAGCACAAATGTGCAGTCTATAATGTATTGGTTATTTAAGTAAAAGGATAAAGTTAGCTCACGATGTCCAAACATCACGCCACGCAGGCACACATTATTAACCTCGACACTAGATGGAAGCACCCCCCCCCACCCAGCAGTACCAACTGAATAGTAGACTTAATCGGTCCCAGAACACGACCGGGCACGATGACGAAGACAAATATCCCCGCCTTTGCTGGATTTAACAGAAAATAGCCCTAGCGGGTCCTATTGCTGATCTAACTACCCAGAATCAAGTGATGGCGTTTAAATCCAACCAACTTTTAATATTATCTCACTATAACATTTTTCGAAGGTCATCGTATTTAATTAAAATACACACAGCCTCAGAAGTCATAAATGTTAGTTATTAAATAAGGACTAAAAGAATCACAGCAAACTGGTAGCTCCTAAGTCCGTCAATGGAAACAATCTTACGCCAGTTCCACGCGACGTCTCTGTCGAACACTCATCTTAATGTTATCCTCCCATCCCCTTGTCAGGCCCATAATAGTAGTCTCCTACATGTCACTATTCCAACAATACCAGGCGACACGACTAATAAGCTACAACTTACTCAGTATTTAAGAATTCTTGCTATGGTTTGTCATTTTGAAACAAAATATTCTTACAATGGGCTTAATTAGGGTTTTCTTATCAATACATTGCCTGGTTAAACTTCTACAAGCCAAAGGCAGAAAGAACAATTATTGTACGTTTGTATACCTGCTACGAAATTGTTCTCTTTACGTGTTCTTTGCTGCCGAGAAAATTTAATTTTAGGCCGCCATAACCGCATATTATAATCCGTACCTTATACAAAACTCAAATCGAATTTTATCTGAACTGTCTAACGTAAGAAATATATACGTCGTTAAGATCTATTACTCCATCTGAAGAAGAGATTTCAGTGTTCCTATCAAAATTAAAGTTTGAAAGAGAACGAACCAGGACACAATCTAAGTTATTAAAGCAGCAATAAATATAGCAAACTAAAAGATTACCACTTCTGTGTTATTAAGAGAACCGACAACAGAAATTGAAAGCTGATTTAAAAAGTACGACTTTACCTTAAGACGCATGACTAGAACTTGCATCCTGTTGTTATAGCAACCCCAAACAACAACATGGCGAGTTTAACTTTAACACGCGTATTTTAAGAGTAATATTCACATAATGGCAAGGGCTATACCGCCAATTACTTCACTTGTTAAGTATGATAATCCTGTGTTGGTCATCAAACATCCGGAAAAGAAACACGACGTTAAGGTAACAGGCCTCAGACATTCCATTTAGCACAGGTCGGAGGATAACTTTTAATCTTAATGTTTTGCTGCTACAGTGAATTCCGCCTATTAGAGAGAGACAGGAAAATCTCAATAAAATCTACTCAGTCCTTTAACAAAGAATCCGGATACTCTTCGAAAAGTGGGGAGCATGTATAAACTATGTATCTAGCAGCTGGGAGCGTGCTGAGGCATTATATCCCAGATGGAAAAAATTATCTGAAAAGTGCAATATTACAGGGATCGTTACAACACAATATCTAATTCAACGAAGTTACAATTCATATAACTTAAATTGATATCGACCCCTACATCATACAAAACATTAACGGAACCAGTCTCGGGTCTGAGTATATTCATGAGAGGAAGGTCCCATTTAGATAACGCAGTAAAATCTTCACGCAAGCATCCAAAATTATTTTATTTCCTTGGGGAAAGGAATGTTGCAATGCCATTAAAAAGATATGATAAAATAAAATGGCTGAATTTTTTTATCAACACCCCCCACGCTGGATACGAAGAGCTAGGTAATCTGCGATAGGCACTTCCGTAAGTCTGTAGCCAATCTCTTATTCGGCGATACTTTCATAATGCGTGTAGTCTAAGAAATAGTCATAGTTGCACAGCGGATAACCGAATGTTGCGAAGTTCTTAGCTATTTTTGCCATTCCTTTTCAACCTAAAGCCGCAACTCGGCAAGCCGTCCCTTGCTGCTGCAGCCGACCCAACTTCACTCCCTCCATTACGTCCGATATCAGCCCCGCCTAGCGCCGACGAACAAAGGGAGATTTTGAATTCTATACGACCGCCTAGAGAATGGACAGATGAGGGACACCTATGGAGGCAACAGGTAAACACACCAATTGGGCAGTGGAGACTAACAATATTTTTGTTACGATAATTTTACAAACCCTAAATAATATCAGAAAATGAATAAAATTTTAAGCCCTTGTCTGTCATCTTATTATTTTCTTTCTTTTTGGAGGGGACAGACATCACAGAAATTGTTTGATATTGTAACATTCATTCCTGAACCTAAAGATTATCCTAATGTAAAATTGTACAACTGTAATTGTAATAATGTTTTGTGCTGTTTCAAGGTCTCAAGTATTCCTGCTACGCGGCTCGACGTATTAAACTTACAGGAGCAGCTGGACGCAAGGCTGCAGCAGAGACAGGCGCGTGAAATGGGCATCTGCCCTGTTAGGCGTGAACTGTATACACAATGTTTTGGTGAGTTCTACTAACACCACTCACATTATCCGTCTGCCTTCTACAAGAATCTGCTATTCACAACTTAAAAAAAAGCTGGTGATTACAAAGACATGTTGACTGTAATAGAAGAGAATACATACAAAAGAAACCAGAAAAGAATGTACACAGACAAAGGAGAAATGCTTAAGGGAGGACAGAGATAAATGGACAAAACTTTGTCTTAAGATGATTAATTTATAAATAGCTTTGGCTTCTCTTCATAATTATCATCATCATCTACTGACATCTCCAAGTAGATGGGTGGCCTTAAGACAATTTCTTCCCCATTCTTCTCAAACTTCCACTAAGCCATTCTAGAATATGATAATCCTGTGAATGAAGCATGAACATTTTTCCAAATGAATTTTTTACCTTCGCTTCAAGATGAAGTAATTCGGCAAGTGACAATCAACTGTGCAGAACGTGGGCTGCTGCTGCTTCGCATCAGGGATGAAATTCGCATGACCATCTCTGCTTATCAGATCCTCCATGAAAGCAGCGTAGCATTTGGTATCAGGAAGGCCCTCATGGTTAGTATCATTTCCTGAAATACAAACTGAAACATCGTTCGCAACACAAGACAATTAGACTATGCTGTATATTATTTAAGGCATTTAGAACACTGTGTTATGTCCAAGTACTTTACTAGCCCCACGTTTCTGAATATTAGGATAACATAAAGTTTATAATTTAGATATAAAAATAACAAAACTACATGAAAAGGCAAACTACAGCCTGGACAACAGTTCCAAATGAGTTGTTATTCTGTATTCCTCACTTGTTAAATTCCTTTATTGCAGATATAAATATTCCCTTTTATGTATGTCACTTACCTTAACCTGTTGGGCTCATATATTTCTCTGGATCCTTTGTTTACAAGAATTTGTAATTTATGTTCTTCCCCCACAGTAAGAGATCACATTTCACACCAATAAAAGAGAACAGGACAAAATTATTTTGTATAATTTAATAAGCATAAATCATGTAAACTAAATATAATTAAAAAGGGACTAACATTCTCTAACCTGTCACCAAATGACCATATATTTAAGGTAAGCCAATATCACTTCTTCGTATCCCCCTGTTCTCATTATTCTTAATCATCTTTAAAGAACATAACCTAAGCAGCTGGTACAGTCATATTATAACCACATTATCTAATCAATCACGACCCCTTAATAAATCTACCAATGTCCGCAGGCTGAGCAAGGCAGGGCTGACTTGGAAGCAGCTGTGGCAAAGCTCTGTTCAGAGAAGTCTGAACTGGAAAAGCAAGTAGTGGAACTGCGGTCTCGTGCTGATCAGATAGAGCGGCGTTCTAATGAACAGAAATTAGCAGAGGAAAAGAAGCATACAGAGCAAATTCAAAACCTCATGAAAACCAACCAACAGCTGAAGGTAATTTTCTCATATAACACAAATACACCATAAATTTAAACACAGACCCAAATAGTACTGAATGCATCAAAATCGAATGAGCAGTTTTGGAGATAAAATAATGAATGGCCAGCACCACCCTACCCTACAACAATGGGTTATTATTATGTACTTTGTGTGTAAAGAATGCATAAAATATTATATTAAAGCATAAGCATTTATTTCTGTGCATGAACTGAACAAATGATAATCTCCAGCAATTTGACTTTAGTACATTTCATAGAAAATGCATTTCAGTTTTTTAAGGTACTGAAACTGCGTAGCAGAGGTAGTAAGCCTCGTAATAAACATCTTGAATACCGTACTTGTTGCTAGTAAGTTTATTATAGTGACTTGTTTCAGGCCCAACTTGAAGGAATTGTTGCACCCCAGAAGTGATTCCCATTATCAAGTATGTATATTTTCAGCATAGTATATAGCTCTTGCTAAAAAAAAATTGCATTGTTTGAGTGAATGATCTTCTAGAGAATTAATTTATCATATTATTCAAGAATATTTTTATACCTTCATGCAGATGTCTAAACCCAGTGATGTATTAAACAAATCAGGCTCATTATTGTATAGCCTCTAGCAGAATATTAAAGGGAATAACTACAAGGTGGTACACAATGTAACAAAGGTGAGCTGATATGGACAGAAGTTCACAGACTCTCTGACTCTGTCAAGTTAAAATGAAAGTCACTGTCAACATACAAAAACATTTCAGGTGGCTGGCATGTCATTATTTATTAACAGATTACCTCATTATAGATACATATTTTTCAAATATTCATCACCACATAAAATACTGAGACCATTTTAAACGCAATGCAACAATGACATACTCTCCCAACTTCCTCCATGACTTGTAAGTCAAGGTCACCTTTGTTGCTAGGCCACTGTTCACACCAGTTGCACAAAAGCTGTACAGTTGTGTACATGGTGTATTTACAAGCAGAATGTGTGTTCATTCTTGAACATTATCTCATATCGAAATCATCTGCTGCTGTTTTCAAGACATTTAGCAATGGGTATACCAACAATATGCCAAAATAGGAAAGAGGAAGCGTTTGTCTTCAAAAAGGTGGTGGACATTTGCTGTAAAGCTGTTCTGCAAGTTTTTTTTAAAAAAAAACTTGCAGTTATGGTTGCATCCTATATATTAAACAGTACTTGTTTTGTTCTCACATCACAGATGCACATGACCACCACCTTGATAATGATGGAACTAGGAAGTATCAAAATGGGAAGTCTCCAATAGCATGAGCCTCAAAGGAAATTTAATGACAATTAGTCACTTAATACCTGTGATATCGGTGACTGCAGCTGAACCAAGGGACAGACAAGACACAAGGAATTTCCCCAATAATGTTGTTAATAATGTTACGTAGCTCCATAAACATGTTTTCTCTTGCAGTTACAAATAAATACTTACTCACTGGAATGAGTTTTTCCCATCTTCATTGTTTCTATTTAAATAACAATATCTGGCTTATCTTCACAACCCTGAGCTACAGAAGAAATAAGAACCACTGATGTCAACATTCATGGCATGTCCAGGAGGCAGGATGCACGTATGGACTCGAGAGCAAGTCATGTACGAGGATGGACAAATGAGGAAATACTTGGACTTTTATCAACAAAGTATCAATATCTTTGCAAATATATTTTTAAACAATCTGTCTTAAAATCTGTAAATACATAAAACACCATGTCAAGGTAAGGAAATGCAGATTCTCCACATCAACATCACAGAAAACTGAAGAAAAATTATTTCATGAAATTAAACAGTTCACTTCATCTTGAAATGGGACTGAGCCTACGACACAACAAAATTTACACTGTACATGCACTCTCAAAGTCATAGTAGCACTCAGTGGAATGACAATACTTACTCTATACTATGGACAAGTAGCAGTGGCAACACTGTATACAATATCAGATCAAGCAGCAGTCTCATCACAGCAATGGCTGTGAAGTTACTGACACTAATCTGTTAAACTGATGATGATGTGTCCAGTCATAACTGCAATTAATAATATTATTCATCCCAAGTTTGTTAAACCTTCTAATATGTATTCTACATTGGTTATTAAATAAATTCTTACAAATATGTCTATATAAATGCTATTCTTTGTACAATTATCATGAAATACATGTAAATGAATCATGAATGTGTTAGGTTAAATACTTAATTCTAGCAGAATGTGTTAAATGATCTGTTAATTAAATAAAAAAAGCCCAAATCCCCATACCATTAAAATTTGTGATGTGTTCAACAGATCATCATTGTAAAAAATGTTCATCAAAAATATTATTTGGGTCAAATATAAAAAATATATAAAATAATTATGACACAAAAATGAGAGGTATGCAGGGGGCCAATTATTGTTCAGCACCATCACATTAAAATACTAAACTGTTTACTATATACGACTAAACATTTTTAAAACACTTCCCATATGTTTTACATTAAAAATGCTTTAACTCTTTCCTACCATTTTGTAACTTCTCAGCAAATAGCCTTGTGTCAGCAGTGACAATGTTAAAATAGTCTGAAAATTACTTATATGAATCAAATTATCGCAAAGGAAAGTGCTCTTTGATTGGCCCTAATACATACCTTTCACATTATTATTCTTCTGCTGGTCAGTTGTATCACTATAATCCCACACCTGCCACCACGAAAAACATTAAATTATAATCATGTGATCTTTCATATCACAATATTGTGATATTTGAATGTGATGATATGTGTGATACGATGTAAAAACTTAATGTTTTCCCCTCTTGGATCGTTTACGCCTCCGTTTCCTGTTCCCCATGGGTCCACCTACAGGTTCTTCTGAAGGAGTTGGGGACACAGGAGAAGTAGGATGATCCCCCTCTACTTCTTCATCTTCATCTTCATCACCATTTACTTTGTCTTCACCTTCCTTCTCACTTTCAGCATTTGATAACTCCAACGAAATAATCTTTTCCTTCAATGTCTCAACCTGTTTTTTTTAAAATGAATAAATACATTTTTAAAATGGCTACAAATTACATGTTTGATTTACAAAAGTGTGAACTCATTATAACCAGGAAGAATCCTATCTGTAGCACTCCTTTCTTATGAAGCAGCTGTGCTAAACAAAATAACTCACTCTGAAAACAAGCATATTTCAACTACACCTATGAATTATATACTATGCTGTCTCTCTTGAAATACATTTTTTAAATATACCCCCATTTCTTAAATTAATCCATTAATTAAATCAAAATATTCTGTTCTGGTCAGATTAATAAATGTGAAGATACACTATTAATCTTAATTATAAAAAATAGCATCTAAAAGCAAACTTTACAGCCATAATTCTGGTACTGCAGGAGGTAAACAATTTATTTTGCTCACATGGGCTGGAGGCTCATATCTTTTTGTGCATATGTAATTTATCTGTAAAATTCTTGAACTCACAGAGCTTTTAGAGCAACTGTTGTAAATACATTTAAGAATGTCATAAAAAGTAAAAACACTTGTCTTTATACACAAGTATCTGTGCTGAAAAATAGAATATTAACAAGTGAAGTTATTTTCCACCATAGTTCAATATTTCTCATTTTTTTTACATGTGGTTGCACATTAGCATACAGTTTAATATCTCGCAGAACATCAAATCAGGATGAATCATATTGATGTTACTCCTCACATTTTGTTATGATGAATATTTACATGACCTTTTAGTAATATGCTGCACAGTTCACAGAAAAATTCCAAGATGAACTTGTAGGTCGGAATTCTAAAAACAATTAATGGAATTTCCTCATTTATATTTGGACATTAGAGCCTTATTACCCATACAAACAAGGCGCACCACATGAAGAAGAAGTTTGCATTAAAGTGGGAAAAATTTTATGAGGTGGACACTTTAGCAGATTGAAGCCGAATGCCTAATTTGACTCATTCAAATATAAATGACAATAGCCACTGAAATTACTTAATACAGAGTTAGAAATAACAATAACAAATTAACTAACGCACAGCCTATTATGATTTATATGGAAACCACACTTGTCCATTTTGTGAAAAAAAAGTTTACTGTATTGACACTAGACTCATTATAATGATGGTTTCATATGAAAACATTTACATGCAATATCTTAGCTACATATCAGGTCCACTATTTATACTGTATGTAATAACGGTTTCATTTAAAGGTAAACCTAATTACTAGGCGAGGTGAGTGTCAACTTCTGTATACAGCCAATTTCCTTCTTGAGACACAATGGATACATGGCTGTCGTCCAATCCACTATTGTGCAGAGTACGCAAGCGCTGTTTGTTCCATGGATGGACAAGCAATATAGATAACTTTTACCTTGACTGAGATCTCTTACATCCATACAAACAAATAATAAGGTATCTTAATGTAGATCATAAATGCCTTCTCCCAATAAATAATTATTATGTGTTCTTTGCATGATATACACAAAATGAAGGCATGTAGGGCTGACCACACTAGTCTGTCCAATCATCTGTATAACTAAACTTTGGAAGAAGTCAAGGACTTTCAATGAAAATTGGCACAGACATTATGCTATTCGAGGCTACCCTATACTGATTGTTTTTAATTTCAAACAACTGACAATATCCCAACATGGCATACACACACAAAATTGTGAGGTCACAAAATAATGTAAGCCCTATGGTATTAATTTTTTTTAAATACTCAACTCTGTACACTGTAAAACAACATGCTGGTGGCATAATAAAATAAAATTCTGACTTGACCAGGATATGATCTGATGACTACCTGCAAATGAGTCCAATAAGCTTCCACACAGCTAACTAGCACAGTGTTATACCATTATGGATTTAAATTACTTAAAGAAGATATTGAAAACACATGATTTATGAAGCTATAAATTAAAGCTGTTTAAGTAAGGTAAAGGAAATTTTCTTTTATGAAAAGTTTTTCTTTAAAATCAATGTGATAAGAGAGATTTCTACATAAGTAGTAAGCTACACACTGCATTTATTTATTATTCTGCAGCATGTATAGAAACAAAGGTGAAGCCCTCTATCTGAAACTATATTGTTCTTATAAGTCAGTTTCAGATAAATGAATCAGTAAAGAAGAAATAAAATGTTTAGAACATAGGTTCATGCATTTTAGTGATGATGATGATAATGATAACAGTGTTAAGTACATGAATTGGACTGAAATTTTCTTCAGTTTCTCTTGTTCCTAAGAAGATGACTAAGTAGGAGTTAATGAATAAATCATATCTTGAAAAGACATGATTACTTTCTACATTGTGTGAAATGCTTAATGTGAATGCATATGCCTACATAGTATATGTTTGAAATGGTGTATTTTTATGTCAGGAACATTCAAAATGCAAAGGTGCAAAGAATGAATGCTGGAAACTGTACCCCAGTATAAATTACACCTTTCTAGTCTCATTCACAATGAAAGAGTAATTTCTCATACACTACATGTAACCTTTTAAGCATGCTGAATAAACAGAAACAAAGATACTGAAATTATTGAGCAACATTCTTCCTGTATTACACACCAACAAAATGATAACTAGTACCAGGTGCAATATATGCTTCAAAATGTTTCAGTTTCTGCAATTTCAAAGTTGCTGCTATGGTTTAATCTACTAGTTATTTTATTTAAAACAGCACAGTTTCATCTGGGGGAGGGGGGAGAGAACACTGTTCTAATCTCTTCTATCACACAACAGGCAAAGAACAAGGCATCGAAGAATCAATAAACATGTTGGACAAAACACATGCTTTATGTGGGTCTCTGCAAAATTCATAAGTAGTAAACTGTCCTCTACAAATTTCTGGACATATTGTGAAAACATGTCTAATTCTAAAAGCCAGGAAGATAATTCATAAAGCAAGGCCAGCTGAAAAGTGTTCCTATCACAACAAATCTACTGACAGCACCACGGCACTAAACTGCGTTAATGGTTCCCAAACTCCACAAGCCCCTTCCTTGAAACATCTGCACTCATAAAATGCTCATGCACGATGTATGTTGATGGCTGTCTTCTAGGTTGTAGCACCATGTAGCCTGGTAGAAATTTACCACTGTTTCATCACTCTGATGATGGACACAGCAAGCAACTGCGAAACATCAGTAAACTCCTACCAGACAAGGTGCAACAATCCAGAGACAACCATCTTCATACTTGCCATTGTGGAAACCTAAAATTTCACCTACATAATGTATTTATCTTTATACCACATGCACCACATCTTCAAAAAAATAAAAGAGATCTGGTTCCACATTACATATAACATGCACCACTGTAGCTGCTAACATAGTTTCTGTATCACCCCTCACACAACACGAGAACACAAAAAATAAAAATATAAAGTAACATATTGCTCTCTCATGAACTATAAAAGTTGGTTAATGATATTACATATGCAAGTTTGTCATCCTGATGCATCATCAAAAACTTTCGACTACTAATAAATTGATAACAACAAAGATTACAGGCTTTCAACAAATTATGTGTTTTATGTAAATACATTTTTAAATGCCATGGTCCTTATTCTGGGATTTTTAAGAGCTGCTTACAACCATAAATGTGATACTGTTAACTTCCTTTCTTTATGTTACAAAGAAGCAATTTCAACAGATAGATTACTGATATATCAGCAATGCAATTACCAGATTGTGGAAAATGCTGCACATTTTTTAAGTTAATTTATCTTACAGCATTGTTCTTTAATAAGACTGACTGTAGCAGGTATTAGTACATATTCTGAGGACTGTGTGGTGGATTGTGTCCAATGGTGAGTCTGGTGTTCACTGTTCAGGTTCTGACAGCATGGTGGTAAGTGCTTGAGTATTACAAATGTTGTGTAATCAAAACATAACTATATACATGGTAAGATTTTAAGTTTTCACAGAGAATTAATGCAATGAAGTTCTCTTGGGTGATCACCCATGTAAGTATGGAGCAACAATCCAAAATTTTGGAATCCGTCTCTGCCTTAATCATCAGGATTGACGTGAAGAGTGATATGTAACTGTCTGTCAAGTTAGTGCTCACATACAAGAACGTGGGGTTCTGAGCCAGTCACGGGTACAAACAAAAACAGTTGTGTCATTCATCACATCAACCCTGATGATTAGGGCAGAGACGCTTCAAAAACACTGGACTGTAACTTCGTACTTAAATGGCGGACTGCCCAAAACTTTGCTGAAAATTCATTGTGTTAGCGGCTTTCTTTCATCACATTAAATGCTAAAATTTCTTGCAAAATACACTATGAACATGTTACTTTTTAAAAAGATCACAGGTTTCTGGAAAATGCCACATCCTTCTAAGAAAATTTATTTTTTAATGCTACAATTTTCATTTTGGGATCTTTTATATAATTAACCCTCTGAAGCCGAAGCTCATCTAAATAGTATTTAAATATACATTCCCCACCTCAAAGAATTCATAACAAGTCTCCATTACAAGGATCAAATAATTAATGCTGTTTAAGGAAATAATCACTGCTGACTGTGAGAATTATATGAAACCAATAAATACATTCTGTAGGCAAAATGTTGAACAAGTCTTAAAGCAGGTGGTACACAAAGTTATCACTAAGTTTTAAAGGATTAATTTTGTATTAGTGTGCCATAAAGCACTGTATCTTGAAAATGCAAAAAAAATATATTGGTACCAATTGCTTTCCTTCATTACATCATGAAATTGTAACTTCGTGAAACAAACTATCGATAAAACGTGTCACTTGCTCAAAATACAACTTACAAATATTTTAATATGGTTTGGATTGCCTCCATTCACTTACACTACACATTGAATCAATGCCAAGTAAAATATCAACTACTTAAACATCGCCTTCAGGTAAGGATAAAGATACTGGAAACACAATCTCCACATACAACATAAACCCTGATTCTCGAAGCAAAACAATTCTTGAATATGACACACACCCTGGCTTTCAATACAAAACATAATCCTTAAATATAACACACCTTGATTTTACAAACAAATATATAGCGGAGAAGGTGCACATAGGATTAAATTAACTGTTTCAGAGACTCTTAAGAGGGGATTAAAATACTACTTGCATAAAAAGGAATTGAAAATACACACTTTTCCAAACAACCATCAGAAAGACTTCACATGCCACCAAGGAGCATATGAAGCGCAGCTTGGGAACCACTGTTCTACGTGTTAAGAATATCATGCTGTATTGCTGCTACTACAGCAAACCAGTGCAGCATGCACTATCTATGATTTGTGCTAACAGCCAGAATGCTATGAATTGTGTTATGTACCTCTCTCTCAATCAGCTTTTCAACATACTCTATGGTGCGGACTTTCTTTTCCCCCGTGTTCTCATCTACGTACTCTTCTGTACGTTGTGTCACCGTTTCCCCGACAACCCTCTCCGACTCACGCACCTTAGTTGTGCCCTCTTTGGCACGCAGAGATAGCTTGGGAAAATCATCACTAGAGGGCCGTAATGCGGTGCGCAACTACCGGGCAGACATTGGGACATGCTGGTTAGTCACAAGGATTTATGTATTACTGGTAACAAATTGAATAACTACATACAACATCTTGTTAAACTCTTTCAGTTCACAGTTATTTGAGTTACCTGAGTATGAACCTCAATGCTTTACAATATGTCTACAAAGAATCCCACAGCAAACATTATATTTATTTTGTCTGTTGCTACTATTTCTAACCAATCTATTTAATTAAATGAACACAGCAGGAAACATACTTACAAGTTTCATTACTCTAGCAATGTTGTGATAATTTCAGTGACTACAAGTAGAGTAGTAGTAATATGTAAGACTTGAGGTTCTCACAAGTAGTAATATGTTTGGCCTTGGGGAGAGCAGAAAGGATCAGTCCTTACCTTGCTCCATCCATCAAAAAGGTGCCACACAATGTAACACGTGTCATAAAACAGACCGGCAGAAATATATAACAGGATACTGGCAGGTATTACAGGGATAAAAACTTGAATTACACATATCTGTACATAGAAGACAACACAGAATCCCATAAACCTTCAACACATTTAAATTTCAATTAATAAAAAGAAAAGTGCATGCATTATCCATAATACACCAATAATCCAGAAACAAATGATTAGGAGTATACTATAGTTGGAGAGTTTCAAAATAAACTTCAGTCATAATACTTCATAACAAAATTCAAAAACTGACATACATCAAACCAACATTGATATTAATATAGCAGACTTGCTATTGATTTGTGCTCAGAGTCTGACTGGATGGATCATGATGTTGATTTTGCCTACTATCCATTGTCACCAAAATTACATCTGAAAGAGCATTTTGGTGACAGTCACAAACTTCATCATAGTGACAAAGCAAATTAAACTTTCAGCTCTACCTGTCACCTTATTACACCATGACGATAAATTAACGTACCATTTGCTTCAACATTCAATTACTTGGTATTTTCCTCCCAAACACAACTTACAGATTTAACTTTGCTCTCAGTACAAACAGTGATTACTTTCCTAAACATAATTTTCTGAATGATCTTTATAACAGAAATGTGATGTTTTCTTGTTAGCAGGAACACCATTTTTAAATGATGTTAAGACGAGGTTTCTTTCTAAAATTTTAACATTAAAATGAAATTCCCCATTTCTGAAACATTCAGTGGCCATAGCTATATTTAGACATAGCATTTATAAATTCATAACATTCTGAAATGTCTGATCCTTAAAACAAGGGTTTTTCTTCTACTAGAATTTCATTAGAAAACCTTCGGTGACACTGAAATAACATGTGTGAAAAGCATAGATATTATATAATAAAATATAGTTTTTCTTAAGTAAATAGCTCTGAAGCTCCATTCTTTTGAGATAGGGTGATACAGACTGAAATGTTGTCTTGAAACTTCCTATATATTCTGTACTGTACATTACCGTAGCAGACAACAAATGAATAACAAAACAGCCATATAAAAAACCCAGTTACCAATTACCACAAATGCAATAAACAAGAAAGAGTTAGTTTACAGGATTTCAAATACCACTTGTGTGAGAACAGGTTGGATGGGACAAGAGGTGTGCACCGGGTATTGGTTTGGAAGCCTGAGGGGAAGAGACCGCTGGGGAAACCTAGACGTAGATGGGAGGATAATATCAAGTGGGATCTATGAGAGATAGGAGTTGAAGGAGACTGGATTTTGTTGGCCCAGGACAGGGTCCGGTGGAGGGCTTTGGTTAATTCGGTGATGAACCTTCGGGTTCGGTAAGCCATCTAGTTAGTTAGTGAGAACAGGTATTTTTTTGGGAAATATTCAAACATGAACATTATGAAAAGACACAAAAGATAAAGAATATACCAGGATGCAGTAATTCCACTGTTTCATCCAATTAGGATGCAATTACCATTTACTACAGTGTTTTAAAACAGCAAAGACAAACTTTTTGCAAATCCTAACAACACAGTTTTCAAAATAAAATATTATGAATAAAAACTTTTTAATGAACATGACTGATTTAAGAGGTTTTTATTCATTATTAATGTTCTGACAGAATTATGAAATGTAGACGGTGAACTGTGGAATACATAGAAGGAAGTGGTAATAGTTACTTTGAAGGCATTATCCTACCATTAGTCACAGAGAGCGATTAACTCCAATGACCACTCTTACAATATTTAGTTTTTGGTGTAAGATTCAAACCTGGGTCTTCCAAATACAAAACTTAAATGCTGCCACACCAAAACGATCAAAAGACTGTATGTGAACAACTTAATACCTCAACAACTTAGAATCATGGATGACTCAACTTGTTCTACATCCCTAGCTTATAACCATACTGCTGTCAATGCTGTGATTGGGGTCTGAAGTCAGTACCTCCACTAATACTTCTGCTAATACTACTACCACTCTGTACAAAAAGTTTTATGATATAAACAATGAGACTGATATTCACTTATTCATGAGTCTTTATAATGTTGGATAATATCACATGCATGACAACATCAATATTACCAATTCACTAGGACTATACAACTTGCAATTGTCTAAATATATCAGTACTAGAGTACAGATCTTCATTGCCATGTTTCAAAAGGTCTGAGATGGGGCATAAACTCAACCTACTCTTCACATCATACCTTCATATACCTCGGTACTACCTGTTGAAATATTTAGTGCAAAATTCAGTCAAAGTTTATCAGCATGTACTTAATGTGATACCTTGCATAGCAAGCAAGTGGCACATTTTAAACAATGAATAAAAACAATTTTGTCGTGGGAATAAATGTATACACTACATCAGACACTAATATTTGTGTTGTGGGCATCACAGGGTTGATAAATATTAACTAGAAGTAGAACAAAATGGAGAGGAATGAAAGACGGCAGCACCAGGAACAAAGTGATGTATATGTAACAACTTTTCTACTACTAGCATTGTTTCCATTTGTATGGGTCGATGGCACAACATAATAACATAAGAACAAACTGTATCTTACCTCAATATTATTCTCTTTATCTGTAACTGCACCATTGTTATTGGGTACAGAAGCACCAATCCCTGGGTCCTGACTACTTGGCTTTGAATCAATCATTTCACTCATCTTCTTGATGACCATTTGTGCTTGCAATGCATCCTACAAGCAACCACCAAACCAGTTAACAAAACGCACAACACTACAATACTCAAAAAGATGCCAATTACCATAGTAAAAGTGCTGCTTCCTAGAAGTCTTCATTGGTTCTTGAATGATGAAACAAATTAAATTCACATGAATTTCAAGTTACTCCTAAAGGGAAGAGACATTTTGCATTACTGAAATCTAGATAGGAAGGTATTAAGCTTGAGCTAAATGAAACAGGGTGTGAGGGTCACAACTACAATCATGACTCAGGACAAGGTCCAATGGTAGGATCTTATGAACAAGGTACCAAACCTTTGGGTTTAATAGAAGATGGGAAAACCTAAGCAACTACCATTTCTCAAAAAGAATTCTGCACTGCTAATTATACTGGTTACTACAACACTGATATATTCTTCTTCCATGTGCTCACATTTCAGTGGTGACCAGTAACTGTGATTAATTAATGGCAAGTAGAATTTGAGGTTCTCACGGCAGTGAGTACAAAAATAGCTGACTTCTGAGTTGCAGTGCTATGTAAGACAATGTTTCAGAGGTCCTTGATGCCTTCATCATCAAGGCATCACTTAGATTATGGAGGCAGCAAGGACTACCAGACTACGTGGCTCTTCATGTTCTAATTAATGGCAATATTGTGTGTTTTGGAAAACTGTAAGTGACAACTGAAGTATCATGGTAATGTTAGTGTTATGCCAAAGCATCACGCCATGAAATCATACTGGGGATATATCACAATCCTATAATTCAGCATCATACTCTGATTGCTCTCCTGCAGGTAAGGACGCTGTAGGAACTACTACCAGTATGGGTGTGGTGGCAAAGAGGTGCTTTACTACGAACTCGAGAGATCCAGATCTTTGGTCAGTCAACTCATTTAGCAATACCAGTTCATAACATATCAAGATGAAAAGATCTGATAAAATTCAATCCAAACATAAAGAATGCTCTGAGCATACCTCTCTTCACTTGTTATATATATGTTGACCAAATGTCACATTTTAAGCATGTGCTGCGTTTTCTGTGTATAATAATCAGCTGCATTCAACTACTGAACTGCTTACTACATATTATTATCCACTTTTCATCGATGAACTTCACAATGTGATTAGTGACATGGCATAAGTCCTAATTCATTAACCTACTTACATAACATGTATATTACACAGAAGGTATTTTATTAATGTAATCTCTACAGAGGTTTTATCAATTCTTGAAACAAATTCACTGTCTGCTGATGGCTTGGTACAAGCCCATACAGTAATCCTTTTCAGAGTCCTTGACAGACCTTTCAAATACTGTAGCAGGGCCAGAAACTTTACTTCAAATAATCAGATGTTGCATCCAGCTTACAATGAAGGCAGTGCTCATCAACCCTGGGTTTCACTATTCACAGTTAATAAAGTGTGTACAGTTTAATTATCATGACATCCAGTGTCAAGTGTTCACATTTCTTTATGCAGTGAAAGCTAATCGTATACCACCGTGACAGGATACATATAACAACAGACCATACCATTCCTCACAGTCAAAGAAAATGCCCTCATGTCAGTTATGAACAACTCAAAATGGCAACATTTCCTTCTGTTCATGAATACGGCCTCTTCAAGTTGCTCATACCCAACAAAGACTACATCATCTCCAAATTTTTAGTTCACATTTTCATACTACAGGCTGCCAGAACAACGTTATGGCTTCACTACCATATTCTTACCTGTTCCAGAGATTTCAGCCTTGCTTGCCTCCAAGCTGCTCGCTTCTCTGCCTTCAGCGCCCTTTGTTCCGCTGGTGACAACTCCTTGTCATCATCGTCATCAGTCAAGAGCCCCTACATAAAGAAATTCAATCATGGTCTCACACAACATAAACAATGGCTAGTTGTACTGTTCAATCATTATCTTTCTGCAGATGCACCACTCACCTAAACCACAATTCTGATCTATGAGCTGACATGTCATAACAAAAATGGAGAAAAATAAAGTTTCGTTCTTTTATAGTAACTTTCTTCATCTCATTAATAGAACAGCAAAACTTTATTGCGTAAGTTATGTAGTGTCAAGCATGAGAATGATGAACTAGGAAGAACTTGAAAGTGATCACAACATTTTAAAGGTATTAATTCAGTACGTTATGATACTTTGCTTGGGCATGAGCCACTGTGCTACATAACAATTTAAAAATTAAAAATGACTTTAGTTCATACTGTTGCAAGCATGGTGGAAGCACAGGGGTATCCAGGCCATGTAGGCAAGGCACAGGAAAGGAGACCTGTGGGGCAGAGCCCTCACAGCAGCAAGTTCTGAGTATTTCCTCATTGTCTGCAGTTCCCAGAGATAGTCTAATATGTAATAGTGGAAGCCCAATGGTGTCCAAGTTTAGCAAGGGCAAAGCTATGGATATTAAAAAGGGAGAGGTGTTGACATATGACAGATGAAGCCTAGGGAGCAAGGCCCCTGTAGTAGCAAGTGCAGAGGGCTCTGCCTCAGGAAGCACGTTTGCCGGAATTATGTGAAGACGTCAACCCTGCTTTGCATAAAGACTGGGGAAAAAGTCCCTGGGATTTCCCCAAGGAATGAAAGCCCCATAAGTAGACTAATCCTATACTTGGCCCAGCCCATGATGAGCAGTCCAGTTGGTTGTATAACCTGCAATGGTGTAAGCTCTGTGATGTCTAAGCCCATTGAGGGTAAAACAATGGATTCTGAAACTCTGGTGAGCGAGGCATGTAAGAAGACAAAAAGGCAGTGGAGTGGCAAGCATGCTGGGGAAAAGCCTTGGTGCAGGAGTAAATGGCATTACCTGGGAATTCTCTCAAGAGGGGCACAGTCCACAGGGAGTAAATGCACGGCAGTGCTTACCTCTTGCTGCAGTTTCTCTTTCATTCTGCGCTCAGCCTTGGCAGTCCGCACGCTACCCATACCACTTGGTGGTCTAGCAAGTGACCTGAAAGGGTATTACATTAGATGAAGAATGTATTTTTATAGCGCAATGTTTATTCAGAATAGTAGTTTCTAATGCTAAAACTTTGTCATTCTTATTATTCATTAATGATTCTTACCATATTAATCTGTTGCATTTTTCTATAAAACATAATGCACATCACAAAAACATTAACCAACTAATTAGATGGCTTATGGAACCCAAAGGTACATCACTGAATTAACCAAAGCCCTTCACTGGACCCTGTCCTCGCCCAACAAAATCCAGTCTCCTTCAACTCCTATCTCCCATAGATCCTACCTGATATTATCCACCCATCTACATCTAGGTCTCCCCAGGGGTCTCTTTCCTTCAGGAAACTTTCCTTTTGTTGTGAACTAGCAGATTTGGACAGCTTGTCACACCTTCATTACATTCTACTGTAGAAAACAGAAGTCAGACTTCATACACCGCACTGTTGGATATTAAAGCCCAGAAGACTGCATCATCTATTCTCAATGCCTGAAGCACCAGAATCTTGACAGTAAGAATCATAATATTAGTTCTACAATATCAGCACTTACTTGTTTGTATGATTCTCAGCATCATCATAATCTTCCTCAGCTTCATCTAATTGTGTCCAATTTTTGAGTTCATCTTTTGAAAGAGCAGCTATCTTCTTTTCTAAAACAAATCAGAAAACATGGCTGCTTTGTGATGTAGGACTGTAGATTACTACGAAAGAAGGAATTTTGTGATTCATAACACAACCAGTATTGTTAGGGCAGTGAAATTACACTGACCACATGCGTCGGACAAAGGTAAAAAAGAAATTAGTATAAACTTTTGAAGTAGACCCTTCTAAAAGCAGGTCAAATGACAGATACAGAAGATCATACTTACTCCTTGGCTCTACAGCTGACGAAGGGCCAAGGCGTAAAATATGTATAGAAGATGATGCAAAGATAATATTCTTCCATTCACTGCTAGAATTTAACTTTAGGCTTTACTTTAAATGCCAAGTCTTAAAGCCCAGTCATGTAGGACTGAAGTGCTATTTTTTGTGCTGAAATTAATGAAGATTATCCAGTAAACAGAAAACCTAAATTTTAGCAGTGAATGTGTTAAAAAAAGATCTTAAATATTTAATGAGGACATAGTATTATCAGCATTAAATTTCTGGACTATACTACACGAGCGTGTTAGTGAGGTATTAATAGGATAGAATTGAACGCAGAGACATCTAAAGGTACTATATGACCTTGCTTCATTTCATGATTTTGGTTACACTAATTGAATTTGGGGGGGGGGGGGCA